ACTTGTACTGCAGTACTTTCAGAACGTAGTACCTGTAGTGTAGTACTCACTTGGTGACACACATGGTGTTCCCCCACACTGTGTACTTGTACTGCAGTACTTTCAGAACGTAGTACCTGTAGTGTAGTACTCACTTGGTGACACACATGGTGTTCCCCCACACTGTGTACTTGTATTGCAGTACTTTCAGAGCGTAGTACCTGTAGTGTAGTACTCACTTGGTGACACACATGGTGTTCCCCCACACTGTGTACTTGTACTGCAGTACTTTCAGAACGTAGTACCTGTAGTGTAGTACTCACTTGGTGACACACATGGTGTTCCCCCACACTGTGTACTTGTACTGCAGTACTTTCAGAACGTAGTACCTGTAGTGTAGTACTCACTTGGTGACACACATGGTGTTCCCCCACACTGTGTACTTGTACTGCAGTACTTTCAGAACGTAGTACCTGTAGTGTAGTACTCACTTGGTGACACACATGGTGTTCCCCCACACTGTGTACTTGTACTGCAGTACTTTCAGAGCGTAGTACTTGTAGTGTAGTACTCACTTGGTGACACACATGGTGTTCCCCCACACTGTGTACTTGTACTGCAGTACTTTCAGAACGTAGTACCTGTAGTGTAGTACTCACTTGGTGACACACATGGTGTTCCCCCACACTGTGTACTTGTACTGCAGTACTTTCAGAACGTAGTACCTGTAGTGTAGTACTCACTTGGTGACACACATGGTGTTCCCCCACACTGTGTACTTGTACTGCAGTACTTTCAGAACGTAGTACCTGTAGTGTAGTACTCACTTGGTGACACACATGGTGTTCCCCCACACTGTGTACTTGTATTGCAGTACTTTCAGAGCGTAGTACCTGTAGTGTAGTACTCACTTGGTGACACACATGGTGTTCCCCCACACTGTGTACTTGTACTGCAGTACTTTCAGAGCGTAGTACTCACTTGGTGACACACATGGTGTCGGTGCACTGAGAGACGAGGGTCTCACGGTCCTCTGCTCTCTGCGGCCGAACAGTGATCAGCTCCAACGTGTTGGGTCGGGCGCAGAACTCTCTGTTCACCGGGTCCACGCGCTGACTGGTGCAGTGACACAGGTTCAGACGCCCAATGGGGTTCTGGGGGGAAAGGGGGGTCAGTACGGATATAACACACACATCAAATAACAGACAGCTGTCAGAACAAGAAAGCTAGAGATACGTTTGGGGTTATCGAGGAGAGGTGCCATTTCATTTCCTTTGGATTTGTTCCTTCATGGTATGCACAACTTAATCCAAACAATTATTTACAAAACACGTCTCGTATAAAATCGTATATTACCAGCTCCTTTCTCAAAACATATATGAATATAAATAGATGGTCCTTCAAGCCATCATGGAGTTCGTCCACAATGTGAGGAAAATATGCAGACATTTCAGTCAGAAAACTTCATTTATCCCAGAGGACATTTTAACGGATGCTCAAATTTACAATAAAACAAAAATGTTTATATAAATAAGAAGTTAAGTAAATATACTATATTTTTACAAACATAACCCAAAATAAAAAATGCAATATAATATTAAGTTATAAATAAAAATATTGTATTAGTAAAAAGTGAAATAACAGTAAAAATAAAAGTATTACTTGCAATAAAAACACATGTAACCTCAGTAATGCTAAAGGAGTTGCATGTTTAATCAAAATACAATTATTTCCTACATTATTAAATATGAAAAGGTGCTCACTGAACATGGAAGATACGATAATAAAAAGAAAATAGAGGTAACATTTTAAAGTGTAGTTTTCTAGGTGACGGTTGCAATGCATTGATCTCTCAATCTGATGACGAAAGTACAAAATAACTACTGTTGTGCAGCTCTATGGTCCACCAGAGAACCAGGAAGCATGTCCTATTTCCTGACACTAGAGGGCAGTGTTCAGTTAGAAACAGTTTGCCATGACCTGTGGGAGTGAAGCAGAAGGGGCCCTAATGTCTGGATGTGGCTTCCTTACGCGATGGATTAAAGCGCTAAATGTTAATTAACGAGCAATGTGTGCATGCATGCTGGTTTTTAACGAATGTCCAACTTTTTTTTTTTATTACTGCACATATTTCATATTTTAATGTAAATACTGCTATATTTTACTATTATTTGTATTATGTTTTAATGTTATTATAGTTTTCTTAAAATACTTTTCTATCTGTGTTTTTTATGTATGCAACACAAGACCAAGACAAATTCCTCGTACGTGTCAACCTACCAGGAAATAAATCTATTTCTGATTCAGATTCTGACTGTCACTAAATAATACACCAATTAAGCATCAGTGAAGCACATCTAATCGTATCTCTATTTGTCTAGAATCATCCCGAATACGTTGGGATCATTTCAGAAGAAAACAGGACCCATTAGTGCACATTTAAATAAAGTAAAGAATGTAAAGCTACCTTGCGCTTCTCGTCGTCGGGGTAGGTCCAGTAGGAGATGCAGTATCCGGACAGAACACACCACCTCCTGTGCCACGAGCCGAACCCACTGACGTCCTCAAACAGCGTCTGGAGAGAGAGAGAGAGAGAGAGAGAGAGAGAAATAGAAAGAGAGAGAAAGAGAGAGAGACAAAGAGAGAGAGAGAAAGGGAGAGAGAGAGATAGAAAGAGAGAGAGAAAGAGAGAGAAATAGAAAGAGAGAGAGAGAGAGAGAGA